TATAGCGTTTCGTTCTTATGGATATAGTAGTACATGAAACAAGAGACCAATCTAACCAATTATTTATATTGTATATATTTAGATTAACTGTTCAGTTTTCAGTATTCTAAGAGCTCGTTTGGTTGTAGGATTCGTTTTCTGATTCGAATCATAATTCATGATTCGTTACAGTATTTTCTCTCACAAAAAATATACGTAAATCTTATGATTCTAATCCATCAACTAAACGGATGGACTCTAAATGGTGTCTAATTAATTATATTTTGCCATACTGTTTAATTAATTAAAGTCGATCGAACAACTTTTCAAATCTTTCATATAGAATATTAAAATTAAACAGACGATTTGAATTCATATTATACAGTCTATGTAGCTGACATCACTTTAACAAAATAAAGAAAAATAAAGTAAAAGGAATTTATTAACCCTCTTTTCCCTAATGGATGACAATGAATCAGGTGCTAGCTTTTTCCTAAAACAGTTGCCCACACATGCCATGCCATCACAAAATCATTGAAGTCAAAGAGATCAAATTGGTTTTGACATTATGCTTTTGTTTATGAATAATGAGCCATGAGCTATGTACCTTGCACCTGGGCATCTTCTCAAAATTGAGTGCTTGGTGGGTAGACTTTACCTTTTTTGCCACTTTTGCTACATTCCAATAGTCTTTTAGTTTTTTTTTTCCCCCCCCTTTTAATACTAAGAAAAACGGCATTATATTTTGGATCCCATACATCATTCTTATCTTTAGTTTTGGTCTTTAGACCTTTCTCAAAACATATAAAAATGAAGAAAAGGATTGTACCTTTTTTTATATGAATGGCTCAGGTAAATTTGTTTTATTTAAAGGGAATAAGAAAAAAGTGAGCGATTATATTCAAAACTGAAATGAAATCATTTCGGATATATACCTGGTAGTTTACTTTATATGGTGACATGTACAGTAGAATTCACATAACGATGTAGCTCATTCATTGTATCGTAGATTGTTATTTTATTCTTTAGATCTTGGGCAAATAACATAAATAGTTGAGAAAGAAATAGATCAACGAAAATCAATCTATAGGATTATTTTTTCAGCTCCCACTCATAGAGAGTATAACTGTAGCCAATAAAGAAAATATTGTCTTAATACATGCTTGTGGATATTGGATAGGCACTAGCCAAAAACGATAATAATAGGAGCAAATAAAAAGGAAAACAAGAGATCATAGATTAGATTTCTATTATCTAACCTATTAGATTAGATTGATTTAGATTTCTAATAGTTTGTCGATAAGTGTTCACATTAAAAATATACAACACGCGATATAAAATTATTATTATTCACATATCATATCATTAAAAAATTAATCTAATAAAAAATAAAATAACAGTTCCTACCACAAAAATTTCTTTGGAAACAAGCATTAAAGTCAACTATATATGTTCCAAATAAGAATTGACAACATCATAATCATTACAGGCCAGGAATTCGTTTTAGAACAAGGACTTGGATGCATAATTTTTGCAGGTTAAATGTGGAGAAAATTAGTCTAGTGATAGGAATTCCACAATGATTTACTTAGCCACGATGGGTTTGGCTAAAGGACAAAAGGAAAGTCACTTTTGCTTGATGAACCATATCTTCAACTCTTTCGGGCCCCTCCTTTAAAGATATGCTTATATGACATGAAATTGCACTTTGCAGTAACATTTGACCAAATGTAAAATATTGGGCGAAAAGACCCACAATTGAAAGAGGGACTATAAAGTATAAATGCCAAGTAGATATGGTAGAGAGTATCAGTAAAAGAAGGAGAAGAAAGAAAAAAAAAAAAAAAAAAAAAAAAAAAAAAAAAAAAAAAAAAAAGAGAGATTCTGTAGTGTATGAAAAATACTTGATTAATATGACACGCTTCTAAACTGTTAAATATTTTTACTGTCTTTTTAACTGTCATATTGTTGTGAGTCTGATATGATGATCTAAGAATGTATCCTAATTATAGTATAATATAAATAAAATATTAAAAGAGAGAAAGTGTTTATCAATCAACGGGAGTTGGAGTTTTCCTAATTCAACTACCACAAAACAACAAATATATAGGGCAAGCCACTGAATTCGTTAAACTACCCAAGTGGGGGACAAGACTATGTTGCATGTGGGGATTGTAGCAATTATCACAAAAGTTTGAGCTTCCAAGCAATTATTTTTCTTAAAGGGACAACTACATCATTAGTTTTTGTTATTTACTTATTTGTTTATTTCTTTTTGTGTGTGAGGTCATTGTATGAGATTACGTGTAATCTTATAATTTATAGAAAAACAGAAAACATAATGGACCATACATACTCGTAAAAGAGCAAAGCAATATGACAAAAAAACAGACATTATTTATATACAGTGCAAATTGAGTTTAATACACGTATCCTATTTGTAGATTTCGGTTCACATTTATTTTTGTTGCAAGTTAAATCCAATACTTCTACTATGAGTTTTTAAATTTAAAGTTCCCCATTAATATTATATATATATATATATATATATATTTCACTTACAATAGTATGAAGAGTAACTAGTTTTTAGTTACTAACTCGCGCTGAAATTGCACAATTAGTGAAGATTGCAGGCAGGCTAAATTTAGTTGCTAATCACACAAAATTTTTAGTATTTGATGTGATCAAGTTCAACTCCTCAGTTCCTATTAAAAAGGAATATATATATACACACGCATCAATTATACATATATGTGTTTTTCTTTTTTGGGTCGACAAAAAACATTAATATCTGTTAGAGTCCGGTAGATTCGGTGGGTACGACGTGTACAAGATATACACGTGCAAGTACCGGATTTGGTGATGTCGATGCTGACGCGGACGAAACACGCGGCGTTCACATAGGAGCTTTGTACAATAAGACCTCCAACGAAAAAAAGGGGATCGGTTAGGCCCAAAGTAAGCCAAAGAAATCAAATTCTAGGACCCACTTTGTTGTCAAGTTGCTGAGGCACTCTCGACTATGCGTATGGGAAGAAACTCAGTCATAGAGATCGTATGGCCAAAGTTTGGTGGGAGGAGTAACTTAACGGTTGATGGAGATTTGACTCGGAGAGTGGATAAGGTTGTGTCAAAGGAGAAATGCTCCGAGGACCAGTACGGGGTGCCTCCAGAGCGGCTGTCTGACTCGTAAAGTGCAAATAAGGCTGCTTCAGAGGAGTGCTTGGAGAACAAACACAGGTAGCCTTTGAGAATGTGCATCAGTAGATGAAGTTTATGGTTTACAGGAAATGTGCTCCGGGATGGCGGAGTCCAGCCACAGAGGTGGATTTTCAGACCTCCAGAGAAACCACATAAACTTCAAATGTAGCTGAAGGCAAGTTTGGATAGATCAAACGAAGTGTTTTGAGACTTTTTGAGTGAAATTTCTATGAAGGACTTCAAACCCAAAGAGCACAAGTTTAAAGAACAACTCTTAGAGGGATGAACTCAAGTTGTAATCTCTCATAAAGAATGTGTGTCAAAAAGGGTCTTAGAAGTGTAATATATGCGTCTCCTAAAATGAAGAAGCTAAGGGGCATTTATAGGAGAAGGTTTGGGAGTCTCGGGTGCTTGCTCCGGAGTCATACAGTCACACATTGCCAGAGGTCTGTACGAACCATTTCCCTCCGGAGCACCTGCATCAGGTGACTTTCCTCTTTGACAAACAAATTGACCAAAAATGGTTGTATTTGGAGACCAAATCTAGAATTCTTGCTGAGACGGATTCTCTCTCTTCTGCGTATCGCTTTATATAAGCTCCAATGAACCCAATGCTTGGACCTTCCCCAGGTTTGGAGAACATGGAGTGTTTGACTAAATCTAGTGCTCTGTGGACGCTTCTATTCTCGGAGGTCTGAACACACGTTCGACCAGCTTTAGAGCGCCGCCTTCCAATTTTGGATAAATAGCCGTCGTTAGAGCACATAACACATTCAATCCTCCCCGGGTTGTGTGGGTTATAAATGAGGCGATGTACAAATTAATTAGAGGGAACAAACCGTCAGATTTTGGTTGTTAAAAATATATTGTCCAAACCTCACCTTGTCATTAATATATAGCTCAATCAAATGGGTGGGTAGGTGATTAGGGACAGGAAGTTCTGAATGAGGAGATCACTATTAGGAAAAAAAAAAAAAAAAAAAAAAAAAAAAAAGGACGGAGACAGAAAGAGAAAGAGTCCTGAATGGCCGTACAAAGGTTTTGCAATTTTTTTCATTTGTTAGTCACGTTAAAGAGGAGTTAGTAGCACAATATTGTTGTCCTTCTTCTAGTTGTTGTTGTTGCTGCTGCTGCTGCTGTTAGCTTTAAAAAAAAAAAAAGAGAGAATGATAATGCCGCTGTCTTCACTGGAATCAATAATTAAGAAAATGGGCTTTATGTTGAAGGCCTTTTGCACGCTCACTAATTGGACTTTGAATGACAGGACAAGGTATTTCTTGTTTTTTCCCAAAAAAAAATTACGTACTGTAAATCAGGTTCTGAAGCCATATTATTTTTCATGTTCATAGTAACATTTAAAACTTTCCATTCCACAGAGGTGGCATATTCAAAAACCAACTGTAAAATTGTTATTAATTCACTCACGCCAAAGATGCTGAATTTCAGTATGAAAGCCGAAACTTGTATTCGATTTTCTCCATCCAGCAGCTAATTCTAGTTGAACAATGATGTGCGCATTTTTTACAGCTCTTTTCTAGTCGTTGACTCTATAGATTTCTTTTTGAATCCTATGAGAATTACCCCGCCTAATATTTTACAATTTAGCATAATTTTTTTGCATCATTTCTGTTAAGTTTCATTAAACCTGCTCCGCATTTTTTTGCATAAAATTAACCCGAGTAGCATTCACAGAACTGCAATTAATTCATATTTGTTAACTACCAACGTGAGCAACTGCAAGACTTCTCCTATGGCAACCGATGTCGTTGCCTTTGAATACCTCCATATTTATTGAACAATTAAACAATCAAACACTAATCATTGAACATTGAACACCTCCATTTATTAAACAATTAAATACTAATCATTAAAACATATCCAATGTTGTTGGCATTCAATGGTAACACCTCAATAAGGTTAGTGATTCTTGTTCGAAAATGCATCATGGGCAGGGCAGTAATCATCTCATCTGAGCAGATCCGTCTGATTCTGACCCCAAGTTTGCGGATCTATGACATTATCTATAAAACCATTCTGTTCAACAAAACTAACCCAAATGGATTCTACTCTTTCCTCCTGAACAACAATAATTCCATCTAAAAAAACATGAATGCAAAGAAAAAAAAAAAACATCTGAACCCTACAAACCGCTCTATAAACTTACGACTAACTGTCAAATTAACAACCGCTAGCCACAACCTGGAAACCATGTCAAAGCTGATGATGACAAGTAACCGATGTGTGTGTCTACTATGAATTGCAGCGCTACACAACCCTTGGGGGAAATGGGCAGAAGGCTGAATTCAACCTTTTGTACCTCTCCGTCGCTTCTTACCTGTCTTCACCTCGCTTTCCTGTCCCTTGGATGGATTTGGCGACTTTCCTTTTGTAGTTTCGACCACTTTCTCTGAATCGGAAGCGTCCTCCTTTCCATCCTCATTCCCTTTAACTTTTGAAGAACCAGACTTTACCTTGCCAGTACCATTAGCACTGGACTTCCCACTGGTCTGGTTGGGTTTATCCTTGGAAACCGAGACGGCCTTTGGCGTGCTTGACTTCGACTTCCCAGCCTTTGGGGTGTCTTGCTTAGAACCAGCCTTTGACGTGTCTTGCTTGGACCCAGCCTTCGGGGTGTCTTGCTTGGACTTGGTGGACAGCGTGCTGCTTTCATCCTTGGATTTGGTGGTCTTGGACTTCTGAGCATCATTATTCTTCGACTTGCTGGACGATTTTGAAGTAATGGTAGCTGATTTGCTACTACCACTTCTTGGCGTCTGGTCTTTAGATTTGCCACCACTCACATCCTTCGATTTGCCAACAGACTTCGAATCATCTTTGGATTTGCCGTCGGATTTACCACCCTGTCCAGATTTTTGTGCTGTGCCTTTCGATTTGCTGGCTGAAGCTCCTCCAGACCTACACATCATACTTGGAACCATTAGAACTCTCAGAAAAAACAATAATAAAAGAAATAGGATAAAATAAAATTTTGGTAATAGGGTGAGATATACTACTCAATTTGGGTAACAAATATACTTACTTTTTGGGTGATCCTTCAACCTTTTTTTGTTTAGTTGGCGGCTCATCAGATTTTGTCTTTGCTTTCTTCAGAGGCCTGGTTATATTGATGAAAGAAACCAACATTAGAAATTGAATGTCAATTACTATGCTGCATCTCTTGAGAAAAAACAATAGCAATTTCACGTGTTCATATTTTTTTTTTCTTAGCTTTTAGTTTAGTAAGCCTACCCCTCAAATACTGGACAACTGTTATTTCCTTTGATTCCAAAAAAAAAAAAAAAAAAAAAAAAAAAGGAATTTAAAGCTCAAAATTAATTAAGGCCTTGTTCATTTCACCATTCGAGTTTTTAATTTTAGATTTCTACAATTAAAAATTCTCAGAAAATATCACATTTAATTTTTTCTGCTACAGTTAGAAACTCTCAGAAAATGTCACATCTCAGCTCGAATTGAAAACTTGAATCCGCAAAGCGAATGAGGCCTAAATAAAAATTATGTAAAAGAGGCAAACTCTGGGGAAGCCAGCCGTGCCCTTAGAACTTATGATCAGAGATGAGCAATAGAGAAAACGGGTTGTCTTTTGTATATTACTCTCTAGACATTGTCAGTCTCAAAGACAGTAATTTGGACCAGTTTTCAAATCCATAGATAAATGATCCTTGCTTCCAGTATAAAGGGGTAGAGCTCTTAGAACATTAAAACATAAAAGTATAGGGATGATTAAACAAAATACCCTAGACCGTGCATCTCTCTCTGTATAAAAGTTAATATACGTAAACCATAATTTCACGTTCCAAGTTTGACTAAATTGGACGAGAACAATTCAACTAACTGTTCCAAAGCAAGAGTTTGCCTTCCGAATCACAGGATTCTAACATTATGTTTGAGCTGTAGCATAAGCATGTTTTAGATTATAGAATTTATATAGCATGTACTCAACGACAAATGACAATATTACAATCTTTTAGAGAATTTTCATTGCCAATAAAAAAGAGGGAACATGTTGTCCGTGACATTTAGTGGTATCCTAGGGCTCGTTTGGTTCTAGGACTTGAACCCATGATTCTGATTCTGCTCTCACAAAAAATTTGAATAAAAAAAGTTCCTGCCAATGGGTCCTCTCACAAAATTTGAATTCAAAATCAAAATCACTGACTTGAACCATGACCAAACGGGCCATTAGGTCTAGAAGAAGAAACTAACAAAGCATTCAAAAGGCTAACCAATATATAATAGGCTGTCTGTTGGGAAGGACATACAAGAAGAAAATAACAATAACAATAATCTAAGTTGAAATGCTGATAATTATAGCAAGTTACTTACGTTTCGGTAGAAGCATCTGGACTTGAACGGCCAGTTTCTTCTTCCTGTAAACAAGTGTGGCAGCATGAATCTAACACCATGGGGAAGTTTACAACTAGCAGATACAAATCAAACAGCCACTTACCTCATCTGACCCAGAGTCATCTCCAATAAACTCCCACTTTTCTCTTTTAAGATTCAATGTTTCTTTATCACCATCATTGTACCAAACCTATATGGTCAAGTAGGGAAAAAAAAAAATTACTCCAATGCAATACGAACTAGGATAATATTAAAATATAGAGAGCCACATCTCTCACATCATGCTTCTTCTTGACTGGATCAAAAGACTCGATGACACCTTCGTAAAACCTGTACATTTTTAGAAAGAACATAAGAAAACATAGAAGCAAGGCTTTCTCCTGCAAAGGAGCTGCGTTTCTAACTGAAGCAGCCTAATAGTCCCATTTAAATAAAAGGAAAGGACCTTTAGTCCAACCACTCCTTCCCCATTCCACTTTATTAGGGAACTGGTAAAAGGAAGTTTATGATCTTCCTCCACAGATAAAAGAGAGAGGAGAGGAACAGTCGTGAACAAGAAGTAACAACTCAAAAGTAAGAAATATATAGCAGGAATGCTATTGTTCACTCCTAAAAACTCACAGTTAAAAAATAAAAATAAAATAAAATAAAAAGTCAATGAAAGGATCATATTTATTGATGGTATCAAAGTTAGAAATATGTAAAATCTCATAGTAGAAAATAACTAAAGATATAAGAAACATGTCAATTAATGCTATCAAAGTTAAAAATACGTACAATCACAGTGAAAAGAATAATTAAGAAAATAAACCCTTATTAATTCTATCAAAATTAGTAACACAGAAATGATGACGGTACTTACATGTGATCCTTCGGCCACCAAACTTTAACCTTTGAACCAACAATGTTCTCACCAAAGTCTTTATCACCAGACTCCTAATAGAATTAAAAAGTAGAAAATTGATTTAGAAATTACAGAAGTGTCCTCAAACAAAACAAATATAGAAAAGTTAAATGTATACATACGTCCCTACATATATATATATATATATATATATATATATATATATTCGGATGAAGATTTCCATAATCAACTACGTGTTTTGCATTTCACAAACCAAAATCGCAAGATATTATGAATTGACCATACCACTGGCAAGCCAATCACGACAAGAAAACAATAGGCAGAAGTAGGAAGAGATATAACCAACGAATACTTTGATTCACAAAAGTCCAGATACAATATACCATGAGCGTGCCTATTCAAAATCTTTGTTGAAAAAAAAAAAAAAAAAAACAACAACAACAACCTCCTGCTACAAATGCACTACTTTCCCCAAAGGAATGTAAGTACGGTACACGATGCTGATGTACAGATTATAAGACAAACCTGAACATAAAGGTTAAAATACATACCTTTACTTTGCTTGGAGTACGTTTTCTCTTTGAATTAGTCTTTGGGGTCTCCTCAGAGCTATGTTCAATTTTGGTTAATTTCACTGACAACTTTGGTGAAGCAATTATGTCCTAAACAGTTTATGACAACAAAAAAATATCACTGTTACAATTGTAAATAAATAAATTAATATCAACACATATTGGCAACAGAAACTAAGCGTTAAAAGGCAAAAATAATGTACCTTGCTATCATCTTTTACAGAAGCTTTTGTTACACTCTTCTCAGAGACAGCTTTCCCCCGACCCTGCTTTTTCTTATCCTCCACCTTCTTTGCAGAGGATCCATGTTCATTTTTACTGCTTTTATCCATTTTCTTAACTGACTGCTTCAACGGCTTTGTCTCTGAATCACTTGTGGTTTCACTATCCTTTACGGATGCATCAATCTCTGTTGAAACTTTATTCACATTGGAAATAGCAGCTGGCACTTTTTTCCCGGCACGCCTATTCAGTTTTACCTCCGAATCACTTGTAACATCAGCAACCTTTTTCGAAAGGTCATCTGCAGATGGTGCAGCCTCTTTATCAGAAGTATCTTTCTTCTTTTGTACAGATTTGTTTGAATGACTTTCATCAGGAAGGTTCTCACTTGGTGACATGGAAGCAACATCAGCAGATTCGTTCTCCAATACCTTAGGTGAGGAAACCTTATCATCAGACCCTTTATCGTCTTTTAAAGGTTCAGCTACCTCAGCAGATGGATCTTCGGTAGGTGAACCAGGCAAATCATCACCTTGACCTTCCTGGTGAGAGAGTTTCTCTTTTTCGTTCTCATTATCAGCATGAGGACTTTCCAAAGGTGGTGTAGATTGCAATGATGAACTAGATTTTTTTCCTCTGTTCTTGGTGGTCTGCTCTGCCTTTTGATCCGAATCAACTACCTTCTCGGTATTCGTAGTTTCCGGCTCAGCTTTGCTTGATGCATCCAAATCTTTCGAATTCTCAATAGGATGGTCATCATCTTGATTCTTTAGGGAGCTCGAATCAGCCAAAGAATCATCTCCCCCTGTCTGTGCAATACCATTACTCAGAGCAGACTGAGGAGATCTAACTGAAGGATCAACTTTTTCTAACGAGGTGTCTTCCGTGGCAATCTCTTTATCTTCCTGAATTAAAAATATTTGTATACATGTATATCAGAAGTTGACCAATTTTAAACTCTAGAAGATCTAAAATAACACATAGTGTCGAAAATGAATAAATAAAGTACTTGAATGAATAGATAACTATTCCGGGTTAGATAAATAAATACATAAAGGTAGAAAGATGACATGCCTGAGCTTCCTCGTCATTGGATGGCTTTACTGACTTCCTCTCACCAGCCTGACAAAAGCAAGTTCAATTGAGTTGCAACTCACAATAATCAAATCACAAACAAACAAATTATGCATCCAACATTAGCATTCAGAGTGAGCATAACACGGACAGAAACCTTGTTTAAAAAAAAAAAAGGAAAGAAAGAGAGGGAAAAAAACACAGACAGAAACACAAAATGTAAGAGCATAACTAAATAAGAGCATGCATCATGTAACCACATGCAACAATAACATCTAATGCCAAAAACATGGAGGAAAGATAAATGATGAGAACAAAATGGCTGTGAAAAAAGAAAATAAGCACCACATTGGAGAATGCTAACTTGAACAAGATTGTGAGGAACAAGTCACTATCACCAATGATTATGAGGTACAAGATTGTGAGTAGAAAAACATTCAAGTAATACATTCCTTCACACACAAAAAAATTCATTTTTGTTTC